GGATCCTGCTCATCTTTATTTTGTTTGCAAGTACAGGAAGTACTGGCCTCTTTACAGATCATCTACTTGCCCCATACCTTCTCACATTGCTCTATGGGAATTCCTGGGCCTTAAGAGCCTTGTATCCCATAGGAGTCCAGAACCTATATAATTCATTAAAGACATAGTAATTACCCAGGACATTCCTAAGACCAATTTACCTCAGGGATCTCTAGTGGAGACCAATTATAATCATAAATCACTCCTCCCTATACTTACAGAAGGTAGAATTCAAACATTAACAACAAACAAAACAAATAAACATATATCAGTCACAAGAAATCCAAAAAAAGTGGAAAGATGCATATCTATTTAGATAATGAACAGGCTTCTGCTTCACTGGAGCCTACTTTGTTAGAAGGAGAAATGAAGAAGCTGACTAAAAAAACTACCCCAAGTTATCAGACATTATTTTCATTGCTAATGATTTAAAGTGTCTCAAACACAAAAATTACACAAGAAATCAAGGATAGTTTTGAAACTTTTGGTTGTGATCCTCACCTTTAGTGACCGAGCATCTCTCCAACCCATCAAAACAAGTTTTTTTTTTTTTTAAGAGTTACAATATCAAGTCTATTTGTATTTGGCAAAATTAAAGAAAATACATAATTATCTATCCTATCTTGTTCAGTTGGAAGTTTTATATCTAATTTATCTTTTCATCATATTTAAAGAAATATATAATTATAGCTATTTAGTCTTCAATTCCACCAAAGAACCCAGAAGGAAATAATATCTTCTGAATAAGTAGGAAGTCCAGGCAAGCAAGTTCCAAAAAGTGTAAGAAATGATATAAACATCTGGTTGCCTGCAGAGTCACCCATGTTTCCTCTGCAATGTTGAGACATCTGTCTTTGGCCTACCAGCATAGCATATCTGAAAGACTTTCTTGTGAAGGAGGGAATTTTGAAGAGCTGTGCTACCTTGTCTTTGCAAAGCTTGGTAGTCACCCTTTTGTGTCCTGCTGGCCCAGTTTGGGCAGTAACTGTCAGAAAATAAAGCAAGAGAAGTTTCTTTGTTCATATGGTTAGCTTTTGCCATAATGAAAATAAACTCCATACAGAGCTTCTTTGATGTCTATCATCTTCTCTGGAAAACATTGGTGCTGCCAAGAGCAGATGTGTCTCACTGTCTTGAGAAGTCTAAGTTATTAACGCATTTTAAAAGTCATATTTTGCAAGTCTTTGAAATATTTGAAGAATACCTATTTATTTGAAATATATCTTTGTACATCTAGAAAACCTAACTAGCATGAATATAAGTTTGACTAGTATAGATAACTAAAAACATTTTATATGTCTGTATTTATTAATTATATATTACATTTTAATTTAGATGAATAAACACAGTACATTAAACAAGAAATATACAGAGTATAACAAAGTTAAACTTAAACTTACATTAATAAACTAAAATCCATACCAGAGTAAAATATTTTGGGATTATCAGTTGTTTTTGATTAAAGTAAATTCAATAATCTATACATTTTTAACCATCATTTCTATATCATATCCCCCTTACTTCTTTATAATGGAATCAACTATGACCAATAACAATTTGTTACCAAATCCCTTAAATGAAAACAAACTTTCACAAACAAAATTTTGGGAATTTGGGCATAGCTCCCTAGACTACTTCCTGCTGAATGGTAGATACTGATAATCTTTGATAAACCCTGAGAAAATTTAGAATTATTGTTAAATCTTGGCTATAGTCTGTGAACCTCTATCTTCTCAGCTAGTTGAAGCTTTCTAGATGTTGGATCATCTTGGCCATTGATCCCATTGGAGACCTCTCAGGACATCTGCCTTATCAAACTATATTAGTCTGTAACGAATCCACAGTTTCTCATCTTCCAATAGTAGTTTTTAATTAGATGGAGATTGTAGAAAATCACACACACTGAGATGGCTTCCAAATACAGCATATTAATTCAAAGTAACTGACTACATGCAAAAGGATTTAATATATGTATTAAAGAATATAAACTTCAAAAACCAGTTTTCTAAGTGTACCAAAGAAAAGGGCAGAAATATGACAAGCAGATGGCATGTTTAATGTTTCCTCGAGCAAGTAGAACCATGTCCATGTTCCTATGCCTTTTCACTCATTTTATCTTCTTACCTTTATATGAAAGCTATAATTGTAACTATAGCTGGGCCCTAACATCTTCCTCAGGGGAGGGGATGAGACGGTGTAATAACAGTGTACACAGAACCTGGGAGTCCACTGTAAGGGATAAGGCAGACTTTTTTTTTAATCTAAAAAACAGGGGAAAATTATATGCCTTCTCAGCCCCCAGGTGTTCTAATCATTGCTATCAAATTGTCTTTCCTCATTGGCTAGGCAGGATCAGGACCTCTGACAGAGTCAGGCAGACTCCAGGTTGGTTCCTCTTGGCCTGGTAGGTTTTAACTTCCTACATATCCACCCTGTTTTATTTATTACATTGTCACTCAGCAGGAGTCAGAGTTCTTTGCTCAGGCCTTGTTTATCCCACCTCAGGAGGGCTCAGCAACTAGACTCTGAGTGTCTTAGATTGGCCTGCCAAACAAGATCTTATCCATCATTGACTACCAACCCTTGAAGAGCATTTATTCCTGGAGAACTGCCAGGGTGGGAGTAGTAGGAAGTAGCCTTTTGGATTACAGATAACATGGCATGCATAACCACCTGTGGAGTACTGTGAGAAGGATGCCTAAGAGCTATTAATACCTGATGTTGGATCTGCTGAAGGAGACATTTAAAGAGAATAAGAATTAACAATACCACCCTGAAAATTAATGCATATATGAGCATCCAGTAGGAATAAAATAGCCTTTTTATATTATGCCAAACATTTCAAAAAATTAATAATAAGAAGTTTCAACCTCTGCCCTTAATAAATCAATTTGTTTGGGGTGGCAATGAGAGCAAGAAAGGGGGTATATACATTACCCATCCTGTGTCATTCCCTCCTTGTTGGAAGGTGCCTGATCCATGACCAGGCATACATCTCTTTCCCAAACCCATATTGCCATCGTGACAGTCTGAGGAAAAACATAAGCATACCCTCTCTCATGGGTTATCAGGGGGCTGAGAACTACCATTGGAGGGAGATAGGATCTCTAATCTCACCATGGATAGAGGTGTGTTCCTTGTCTGAGATACCCCAATGCTTGGAAGCTGGGATAAGTCCATTGTCATCAAAACTGAGGAAGTTTATTTGGAAAAGGATCTCTGTTAAGGCCAGATTAAGATGTCCCCTAGTCTCTGGCAAGATAGACTGGCCAACAACTCCTTAAGAGCTTTGTTGATCCTCTGTTCAATGGTTTGTCCCTGTGGGTTGTAGGGCATGCCAGTGGTATGGGAAATCTTCCAGGACTCCAGAAAGTGTCATAGGCAGGGTCATTATTAGTCTTAAGTGTCCAAGGTACCCCCAAAACTATCATGGAAAGCTTAAGGGCCTTGATAGGTTTGATGGCTTTCTCCCCAGAAATGGCAAGAACATAAACAAAGGAGGAACAGGTGTAGCAAGGATGGCCTGCTTATTCATCATGTCTTCCCAGCTAGCTTAGCCCCGAAATAACCACACAGAAATTGTATTCATTAAAACACAGCTTGGCCCATTAGCTCTAACTTCTTATTGGCTAACTCTTACATCTTAATTTAACCCATTTCTATTAGTCTTTATAGCACCATGAGGTTGTGGCCAATCAGCAACATTTCAGCAAGTCTATCTGTGGTGGCAGATCCATGGCGTCTCCCTCCAATTCCACCCTTCTTCTTCCTAGCATACAGCCTAGCTTTCCCTGTCTAGTTCTGTTCTTCCCTGCCTTCAGCTCTCTGGGACTCTCTGGGAATGAAAGAGTTCAACTATTAGATGTTCTTATGGAAGGTTAAAGAGAGGCTTAAGTGGAGTTCATCAGGCAGTGAAAAGCCCTAGAGGATTGGCCTCACATGGAGATGGTCATTAGGAGAGGTCAGAGGAGGATAAAGACTGAGTTTGTTTGTCATCACATACCAAGGTCAACTGAGGAAATCAAGTGAACAAGGTTATTCTATTTCATAATGAGGCTAAAAATATACAAAATAAAGAAATATTCTTCTTTTGACAGTAAAGAAATGAGACAAAAGAGGAGAGTTGGCTGTGACCTCATGCACAACTGAACCATTGCCCCTTGGTGTGAGATAGGAAGTCAATGAGTCTCATGTTCTTTATTATATGAAACAGAACTTTCTCTATATCCTTGAGATTGTTACAAGGGTAAAATAAAGACATTAACTATAAACAGAAATTTTACTAAGTAAAATATGAAACATATATGAGGTATTACTAGCTTCTAGCTTTCTTTATTCTTTCCATCATCTTAGATAAGTAAATTGAATTCTTCCTGGTTATTAGTCAATTTCAAATTAAAAGGAAAATTTTTGTAAAGGACACTGTTGTACAAAATGATTACCCCAAATTTGTTCAGCATCAAGAGAAGTCAGAAAAGAAAACAGAGACATAAAATAATCAGGGGGATTTGAGAGAACAAAAGGATATCAAGTCAGAGTGGGAGAACCTGTAGGAAATAATTGAAGGAAATTTGGTGGTGGGGAGATTGCATTGTTAGCAAGAATCATAAATCCATTACTTAAACTATTTTAATTGATACATTAATGTCCGCAGAATTAAGAGTAAATGGTAAAATGTTACAGCAACTTAAGAATTTAAGGAACAGAGATTGCATCAAACAGAACCTCTTCTACTATGCATTTACAGGATAATTTGTGCAAAGTATGGAGGAAGATGTGGCCAGCTATCAAAGACAATCTTTCCTACTTTGACTACTACACTACACCTCTTTTTATGTATTGATCAGTTATGTGGCATGCCCTTTCATGAATGTTCTATGATTTGGGACAACATCTGACATAAAATATTAACATCATTATGTTTGTTACATAAAAATAATTAAAAATCACAAGCGCTACCATTATAAAGTGATTTTCTTATTGTAGAAAACTCTTATCAGGGCCTCCTTTATGTCTCTGTTCCTCAGGCTGTAAATGAAAGGGTTCATCATGGGTGTCACCACTGTGTACATCATAGCCATGACAGTCTCCTTCACAGTAGAGTTATTAGCTGGTGGACATAAGTATACACCAATAACTGTGCCATATAACAGAGACACCACAGACAGGTGGGAACCACAGGTGGAGAAGAGCTTGTAGATGGTCTGGGTAGAATGAACCTTGAGAATAGAAAAAACAATCTTTACATAGGACATAACAATGAGTAGGAATGGTATAATACCAATGAGATCACTCATGATAAATAACACTAACTCATTAATGTTAGTTTCTGAGCAGGCCATCTTCAGTATAGCCATTATGTCACAGATAAAGTGGAGAATCACATTGTTCTCACAAAAAGACAGTCTAGCCATGAGCAGGGTGTGCATCATGGCATTGAATGTGGCCAGCGTCCACAGTGGCAGCAATAAACAAGCACAGAGTTTGGGGCTCATGATGCTGGTGTAATGAAGTGGGAAGCAGATGGCCACATAACGGTCATAGGCCATGGCTGTAAGAAGGAAACTCTCCATGACTCCAAAAAAAAAATAAAAAGTACATTTGTGTCAGACAACCTGCATATGGGATAGATGGGTTCTGGCTTTGCATGTTTTGTAGCAATTTGGGCATTGTGACAGAGGAGAAGCAGAGGTCAGAGAAGGACAAGTTGCTGAGAAACAAGTACATGGGTGTGTGGAGATTGGGGTCCAGTAGAATAAGGATGATGATGAGGAGGTTCCCCAGGACGGTGGTGAGTTACATGGCCAGGAACAGGACATAGAACAGGTGCTGGTGCTCTGGGGGGATGGGCAGGCCCAAGAGAAGGAACTGGGAGATGACAGTTTGGTTGTTTCCAGTCATGATCTGTCTCCAATGACTTTAAGAAAAATAATCAGCAATTTGTTAAACACTCCTCTTTAAACTTGTATGAGATAGATCAATTCTATTATTCAATCTCATTTGTTTAATTTAGAAAGAATTTTTTTATATTTTCTAAATTTATATTCTGTGCTTTTCTATGGCATGGAATAACCTCAATCTCTTAGGATCTTCAGTTATCCTTGGTAGGGGATGACATGTTAAACCAGTCCTATATACTTTCCTGACACTCCCCCAATCCATCTCCGTGCCCCCATGAAAACAGTCATGTTTCTGAAATACACAGGGTGTGTTACTTTTTCTTCAGTTATCAATCTTACTCTTACAAAGTTATTGTAATCTCTACATCCCAGTATGTTCTGTCATTATAACCATGAATGATTTTTCTTCTTGTTGCCTTAGCATGCTCTAATTGTCTAGTATTACCTAATCACACCTAATTGTTTCTGATATGCACAATGTACTGGCATAACTCTTTCCTACCTGCCTGCTTCTTCTAGGCAACTATAGTTCACTTCATTGTGTAGTTTTATCTGTTTTTTAAAGGACCTTTTTACACTTAGTCCTCTAGATTTTATGAGCCCCAAGAAAAACACATATACTTTAATAAGTTATATTACCAATTAATTGCTAGATATAACTGTGTCTCTATCCTGCAGAATCACCACCACATCACTGACTGATCATCTTCTATGTTTTCCCCCACAGACATCTAAGGTTCGATGCATCCCAAGAGAAATTCAATTCTCTCTCTCCCAACATCTGTTTCACATGTCTCTTCTTTCTCATAATACAATAAAACTAACTCAACATCAATTATATAAGTTTTGTTGATTTTTTCTTTTTTCTTACTTTGGACTCTAAACTAGCAGCATATAGTTTGTCTTCTTCACCCTCTTCTCTCCAGTCATTTAAAACCATACAATCATATCCTTAGTAATGGATGGCATTGTCTTCTGCCTGAAATATTAAAGTCAGCTTTCAATTCCAACCCATGTCCCCTGTCTAAAAACTAATTTCTCCAGTATGTTTATCCAATACTGGCATTCTGAGATGAAAATATATTCTGAGATGGAAAAAATTTGAATATTTCCTGATTCATTCCTCAGGTGAACATGTTTTTCTTAAGAAAAAATTTCTATCATGTGCACAAACGATGATTGCTTATCTGACTTTAGCAACTTCTAGCCCACTATGGTTTCACAAATTGCTTGCATTATTCTCTATAGCCATTCTCTACTTCAAATCCAAGTTTGTACAGCCATCATTTATGATTTGATCCTCATTTTATCTATTACATGCTTTCCCTCTGGTGTGACTTCTCTCAGTTTTGTTTCCACAATATGATATGCCATATGCTAAATTAAACCTTGTTGTGTCTCTACATACAGTAAGATATATTACCCTGTTGCCTGCGCATCTTGTACTTTCCACAACTACCAATGGCTCTGATTACTGTTTCACAGATATTGTTGCCAGACTGTAACTTCATGAAGAAAAGGCCATGACTGCCCACGTAGAGAACCAACACCTTCCCTGCCTGGATGAGACTCAGTGTGCATGAAGGTTTCCTGGCTATGATGTATTCTGGGACAAAAACTTTTTCAAATTTAAGGGCAGAAATGCACATTAAATCCAAATAATCATTCTTCTTCAATTTCCTCATAATATAAAATCACCAAACTTGAAAGTTTTAACATGAAAATGTAATACTCTGTGATTAGCCTTAGAGATACAACTGTGTATTTATGGAAGGTTTTGAGGTGAGTAGGATGCAATGTACTTTCCAATAACACTAAAGACTCACAATTTTTATGTTTCCATTTATATGGTTCTACTGATAGTAGTGTAGGAAAATATATATGATGAACATTTTATGAAGCTCTCATTTTTATCCTTCTCTTGACTTCATCTTCAAGTATCCATACCTAACTTTGTAGTTAATTATTATAGGAAATGTTCTATGTCCTGATAGCAAGTTTGGTCAGATTTTATCTCTGGAAATTTTTATGAAAGTGTTTTACTTTGTGATTAACATTTAAATTAGTAATTACATTTAAATTATTGTAAAAATAACTGTAACCTTTTGTAATGTGATGATCCTCATGCGAGCAATTGTTGGAAGAAACAGAAAAACTACAGTCTCTTGAGAAACCTGAAGATTGCCCTTAATGTGAGATTGTAACTTCCACTCTTCCCAGGGACTCCAGTCCTAATCTCCTGGACTTGCCAGTTCTCAAGTGTGTGGGCTGCATCTTTAAGACAATTCCCTATCTTGTTATGTTTTCTTCTAGATAACTTTGTCTAATGAACCCAAGTCTATAGGTAAGATGGCAAAGAAATCAAGAAGAATTACAAAAAGATGTGAGAATAGGACCTGGGTTTTAGCTCAGTGATACAGTAGTTAACCTAGCATGCCCAAAGCACTGAGTTCCACCTCTAACAGAAAAAAATAGAACAATGGGCTGGAGAAATGGCTCAGTGGTTAAGAGCACTGACTGCTCTTCCAGTTCAATTCCCAGCACCCACATGACAGCTCACAACTGTCTGAAAATCCAGTTGCAGGGGATCTGACAGCTTCACACCAATGCACATAAAATAAATTATAAAATAAGATAAATAAATCATAAAAAAGAACAAAATTAGCCGGGCAGTGGTGGCGCACGCCTTTAATCCCAGCACTCGGGAGGCAGAGGCAGGCAGATCTCTATGAGTTCGAGGCCAGCCTGGTCTACAAGAGCTAGTTCCAGGACAGGAACCAAAAGCTACGGAGAAACCCTGTCTCGAAAAATAAAAAAAAAAAGAACAAAATGAAGACACACAAAGAGTTAGGAAATCCTTCCAAGACACTATCTGACTGAGTCTAGCTTTGGGGTCTCCTATCATGCTGGTGGTCATTAGTGCAGATGCATTAACGGTTTGATATTTGGACATTATGTTTAGTGATAATGAGAATGGCAATATAGGTGAAATTGTGTACCGAGTTTCTCAGAATTATTCTTACTCTGCGAAGGAGTGGGCACCATAACTTATGTAGGTTTTGTGGGGTATTTTTGAGCACACTCTTACACTTCTGAGGCTGATATAAAGTTTACCTTGAATCAGAGGGCAGAACTAGCTACTAACTGACCAAAATTTGCCAAAGAAGTTTTAGATGGCTGAGGACATGTAGAGAGACGGCAGAAGTAGTATGAAGGGGTTTAGAAAGATTATCAGCCCTTATGGATTGAGGAAGGAGAGAGTGAGGAGTGAGCTGGTCACTTTTCAGCTGCTTGTCTGATTATTCAGGGTTTTATACCCTTATATGTGACTCCTGAATTTTTATTGAAAAGATAATTGCCATAATACATACATCATGTATGTTTACATGCAGAGACTACAAAGCAGAGATCACATATGAAGCTTGCTAATTCTGACCAATGTAGTTCTCTTTATCAATTCTTGACCTTAATAGAAGATGAGAATATCCCATGGACATGGTTCT